AAAAAAAAAAAAAAAAGAGGCAGTGTATTCAATAAATATTAACTAATGATAATATTACAAATGCTGATGAGTAGGATTACAAATAATTTTTATTTTCATCTTTAGACTTTCTTATACAATTTTATAATTTGTATGTGAAACTGGGCCATTATATCAAAATCAACTAAAACAAACATTTTTTTTAAAAATTAAAACCACCACACACACCATTTCATCATGTACCTTTGTATCGTAATTCTGTTCCTTTGAGGGGAAAAATATCCAATATTCAGTAAAAATAATATGCCATTCAGAATCTGAACATCTCATTACTTTCAGAGTATAGATTCTGGAGTTTAAGACTGCTGGGTTGGAATCCTATCATTTACTAGCTCCGTTAGCTTGAACAAATTATTCAAGTTCTCTGTGCCTCAGATTCCTCATTTATAAAATGGGAATTACAAAAGCATACAACTCAAGAAGTCGTTGGGACATATGAAGGGGACTTATATTGGGACTTAGGACGCGTGAAGCACTTACAGTGCTTAATATGTAATAATATTTTTAGTATTATTACTCTGATATATTAACTCCATTTATATAAATAATACTTTCCAGTATTCTAAGATTCTAAAATCACTGTCAAAAGAACTGGTTCTAGCCTTTCTTATATCAAGTCAACTACTTTATATCACAAAGAGTTCTCACTCTCAATACTTTGACCTTGGAGGAAAGAAGTATCAGCTAAGAGTATGTAAAAGAAATACTGTAACTTACTATGTCTCTGAAGACAACTGCCCTAAGCCGATTAATATCCATGTCTTGTAGGAGCTTGTCAAAATCTCTTACTGGAGATATACCACCAGTTACAATGTCCACTGGACTCTATTTAAGACAAAAAAAAAAAAAAAATATATATATATATATATATACACACACACACACATTACGTAGACATTTTAAAAAAATTAGCACAGTGTTCCAAATACCAGGGAAAAAAAAGTTGTAACATTGGTTTCCCAGTTTATTTTTCCTACTTCCTTCTCTCCTCTTTTTTGGGGTACTGGAATAGATGTGGGGGTTACAGAAGGGAGCCATAAAAGAAAACAGAAACTGCATGTAACTTACCAAGTACATGAAATACAAATTGACATATTCAAAGGAAAAGGTATCAAAGACACAAGAAAAGTAAACATTTGGAAAAGCAGACAAGATTAAGTATAAGCAAATCTTTACTATATATTTAAACACAAATATTTGAATGTTATGTCCACAGACTAAAATAACTACTTTAGAACTTCTGTCAGATTTAACTTTATGTTGAAATGAACAAATAAATTTAAGATCTTAATCATAAAGTAAGAGGCACTTTATTTAATTAATTATCCTGTATGCTTACCTTTGCTGCAGATTTCCCCATGGGAATCAGGCTGTGCATTGTTTTCTGGCCTTTGGCTGCATCTCCTCTAGCTTTCAGTTGTGAATGCTGTTGACACTCTAAACAATTCCTTACTGCCACTGCACACACTGTAATTTATTTTAAGAAGAAGATTGGGCGAGAAAAGAAAATTTTATTTAAGATTTTGGAACTGATAAAAATCACCTACATAATACGATTTACATAAGCTTTTATTTGAAACAGATTACCTTCAGCAAATTCCTAAAATGTCCCTGGACTTTATCACCTAACGTTTGTTTTCTAACTTTGTTAGCTACTCTGTTAGGGCCCAGTGCTAAGAAAGAATCATTTCAGGAATCTTTTTTTTTTTCATTTCAGGAATCTTAATCAACAGGCCAGTGTTTCTTAGATAACACCTAAGCTAAACTAGAACGATCTTTTATTAAGGAAAAGTTAGGGAAGAAAAGAACTGAAAGAAAGGTGGAACAGAAAGCAAATCACATTGCCATGAACCAGTCTAGGATAATAACCTTCCATCACCTTCACCAAAGTAAAATAGTTAAAACTTGCATGTTTTCCTTATTATTTATCATTATAGCATGATATTAATAGAGACTGATAGAGGGTATAGCATTTATAGCAAATATTTACAGCATCTACATTTAACTGGCTTTCATTAAAACAATTTAAAAGGTGGGGGACAGTAAAGAGGCTATAATACCCCTCTAGTATTATGCTAAATGAAGTAAGTCAGACTGAGAAAGACAAATACCATATAGTTCCACTCATAAGTGGAATCTAGAAAAAGGAATAAACAAACAACAAGTACAGTCAGTCCTATAAACACAGGAAACAAACTGATGGGTACCAGAGGGGAGGGTGGTAGGAGGTGGGCAAAATGGGTGAAGGGGAGAGAGAGAGATAGAGGCCTCCAGTTACGGCATGAGTAAGTCAGGGAATAAAAAGCAGAACATAAGGAATACAATGATACTGTAATAGCAATATAACTGGACACAGCCTGATGTACAAACCTCTCAACTCATTAAATTGTGTACCTGAAACTAACGTAACATTGTGTGTCAACCATACTCAAAATAATAATAATTTTCCCTGATAGAAACCAGTATATTTGTAAGCCAAAGAATCCCCAAAGCTTTGTTCAAGATTTGATGTTTTGTAATTACTACCAGATATTAACCTTTTTTGTTGTTTTTGACTGACTGAACACTTTCACAAATACTGTACTCTTAAAACGATGATCTTCTCTGAGCATAAATCTTATAGCATTCATGTTATATATAATTATGAACTATTACAGCGTTTAATAGCATTGTTTGCTAACTACTGAAACAGTTATGTAAATTCCAGAATTTGGTTGTAATATTTACAACTTAAAATAAGTAGTAAATTAAATGAATCACCTGTTCAAAAAAACAATTACCTCTCTATACATCTCCCCAATCAGGCAATTACTCAGGTTATTTAGAAATTAATTTTGAGGTTTAAATGATGAATTGGGTAATGCAAAAGTGATCATGAATTGCTTGATATCATGTAAATCATCTTAATTCCCAATCAAATCAGTAGAACTCAGAGTATGTGAACTGAACAAGAGTAGGAGAGCAAAATAGGAACAAAATAGCAAACTTCTATGTGGACTCTAAGCACCAGCAGACTGTCATATGGCTAGCAGACATAGAATTGAGACAGAAAAGTATTCAGAAAGTTGCAAGAGAACAACAAAAGTTAGGGAAAAGGAAGGAGTATAATGAGGGAAGGAGGAAGAGAGAATATGGAATACAACTCTGTCAAATTTAAAATCAGGCCCAGAAAAACAACTTTTGCACTACTTTTGTCCCAGGTTGCATAAAATCAAGTTTGGGTATCACAAAGTTAAAAACTATGCCATATTCATCAGTCTCAGTAGGACAAATTACTCTTATTGTTGCCATCCTGCCTTCTTACCTCCAACCTCAGGAAAGAACAAGAGAGACCAGGGATCAAGTACTTGGATTGTTCACCAAGTTTACCATACTCTATTAAAGAGATCTTGAACAAGTCATTTTCTGAATCTCACTTGCATATATAAGAAGACATGGTGCTGGGGTAGATTAAATCATGAAAATTAGGGAGAGAGAGAATTTCCCTAATTTCTGAATTTAATGCTTGAGTACAGTGAAATACTAATAGTGCAGCCTTGTACTTTTAATTCCAGAAATACACTCTTTATAGAAAAGTGACAAAGTCTAAAATATAGCACATACAAAATTAATCGAGTCAAAATATTTAAATTTATTACTAACAGAAAATTTAAGGAAGTATGTTATAACAAAGAACAGGAACACAAGTTAAACTATATTCAAATTCTAACTTTACCAATTATAGCTTTTGGATTTTGAGTAAGTTCTGATCTCAAATATTTCATGAGTAAAAGAAAATAATTGCTGACTCACTGAAAATCTGCAGTAACAAATGACAATAGTCAATAAATGAGTTTTTAGCTTTTTATACTCACCATTTGAATCTCTTAATTAAAATTTTAAAACAAACTTCTAAAAATTGTTACATCAAGTTATTTAGAGCATCCTAAGTTTAAAAGTACTTTGAATAGCATTTTGAGTAAAAATAATCATTGCACCAAAAAAAGTTTATCTGTTCATGTAACAGATATTTCTGCTAAAAACAGGAAAATCTTTCATTAACTAATTAGATTTTCCACTTTTAATGTTATATTTCCACAGATGCCTTATTTCTGATCTATCTTCATGTGGCCATGGTTCCTAATGGTTTTGTTTGCATTTCTTCGTCCCCTTCTCCCTAGCTGCTTTTCTCCATTTAATAAGCAAATCCTTAACAAAGTTTCAGTATTTACAACTAGATAACAAGAAATCTTCTGCACAGAGAAAAATTCTTCTGTGTCACTAAAGGAAGCCCTGATGACACTAAAAATTCTTTTCATGTATTTTAACTTTTACCTAAGCAAGAAGTGCCTCCAGGAGAAGAACAGAGATTTAATAATTTCAGGAACTGCTTCAACAAATTACCACAGTTTATTTTGACAAAGGCTGTACTGGAATGATGCTAGTTTAGAACCTTGCCACTCAAGTGTGTTTGTAAGAGAACAGTTTCAACATCACCTGGGATTTGTTAGACAGTTACAGACCTCACCTCAGTCCTATATAACCTAACTGCATTTTAACAAGATCCTCTAGTGATTCTTGTATATGAATCATCTTAAAACTTGAGAAGCACTATTTTTGAGCAAAAAAAGACCAGAGGAGGAATGGTAGTGGTGACCATAATCAACTTGAATTTTTCAAAACATGTCCTTCCTCTAGCCAACTTTATAACTACTACTATAGCATAGTACATACATAATCTTCCCTCTTTGGAGGCTAAAAAAAAAACACAGGACAAATTGTCTAGCACACATTTTTCCACTAACAGGTGAAAGATAATTTTCAATCTAATACGTCAAGATTACTGAAAAATGTTCAAGTAAATTCCTAACTAATGGGTTTTAACATCTCACCTAGTCGGAGACACTGTCGCAAAATTCCACCAGAAGACATACTTTTTTCAGCTTCAATTTCAGTAAAGCCAAGAGAACTTGCAAATATAAGCACATCCACAAGGCTGATTAGCCTCTGCAAAAATGTCACAGAGGCTTCTATTGAAAGGCCTTGAGTAGGTTCAATATTCTCCAGCTCATGCTGTAAGGAACAAAATTTGACATTTACACCTATATTCTGATCAACATCTAGTTTTCTTAGATACATTTCCCAAATTTCTAAGTTTTATAAAAAGCCAGGCTTTCAGATATCTAGTTCAACAGAATGATTTCCTTTTTCATCTAAAAAGAAGGCAAAGGAGGGGCGCCTGGGTGGCTCAGTCGGTTAAGCGACTGCCTTCGGCTCAGGTCATGATCCTGGAGTCCCGGGATCGAGTCCCGCATCGGGCTCCCTGCTCAGCGGGGAGTCTTCTTCTCCCTCTGACCCTCCCCCCTCTCATGCCCTCTCTCTCTCTCTCTCATTCTCTCTCTCTCTCAAATAAATTTAAAAAATCTTTAAAAAATAAATAAATAAAAAGAAGGCAATGGAAATGTACAGGTGAACCACCATTAATCCTATTTGCTAGCTGACTCATCCCTAAGAAATCAACATAGTTTTTTAGTCCTTTCATTCCTGGAACAGATTCTAAGGTCCTTCCAGGTAACTGTAGAAGATCCAGTTGCTTTTGGCTTATAACACCTATGATACATAGTAACCACCATACTCAACTTTTAATCAACAAAGATTCATAACAATCGTGTTTTCACACCAATTTTATATGGAAGGTAAGTCCTTACTGTAGCTGATGTAGCCGCTGAAAGCAATGGCAGTATACCCCCACAAGCCATGACCATATTGTCCATCACTTGAGAGATGAGATGAATTGTGTTGTGTACAAAGATGACATTATCACTGCTATTCACGAAGTCCATAACTGTCTTTGTTGAATGGCTGTCCAAAGATAAATGATGATTACTGATAAAGCTAAAGAAAAGAAATCAGTTTGCCTACTTGAGGGGAGGGAGGATAAGAAGGTGCTTTCACTTCATCTTGAAAGCTGAGGTAATGATAATGATATAGCAGACATGTTGGGGATGTACTTCCTCAGAAGATGTAGACCATTCCATCTCAGGGGATACTATCCATGCCCCTTTTCAGTGCTGAAACATACAACACTATTCATCTTGTATACCAAAAGTTGAATTATCCTTAACTGGGAACAAAACTGAGAAGTCATGTAGCAAAAATTAAGAGGTAAATGGTGTTCAATGTGCTATTAAAAATGAATTTTCTATTAACATTTTCTTAGATAATCCCATAAAATGTTTTTAAACAGTGTAAGTGTAGTATACAAAAATAACAATAAGCCAGCGATGCATTTTAAATCATAAATCACATAATAGATAATCTGAAATATACAGAGGTTTTATACTAAAACTACACTGGAGAACTGGATGTTATATTTAAAGTCCAATTTTTTTTTTAGTACTCCTAGTAATAAACCGCTTTAGCAGATCAATCTTCAGGTGAAATATATGTTATAAAATATGCTCCAGGAAATCTGCAGCAAATTTTTTAAAAGAAAAATCTCTGATTTTAAAGTTTTTATAATTCAGACAGGGTAGCTCATTTTTATAATGGAGGAAAAAAATGTAAATTCAATAAACTGTACCAAAGAAATAATTTACATTCTACTTTTTAACCAAATGTCTGAAATTAATTGCAAAATGTTAACTATATAAACTTCTTTAAAAACAAAGACCAGGGTCCCTGGGTGGCTTAGTCAGTTAAGCAGCTGACTCTTGATTTGGGCTCAGGTCATGACCTCAGGGTTGTGAGATCAAGTCCCACGTTGGGTTCCACACTGGGCATGAAGTCTGCCTAAGATTCTCTCTCTCCCTCTCTAAAAAAAAACCAAAAACCAAAAAACAAACAAAAAAAACAAAGACTAAACTTTATATACATCTTCTATAACAAACATATGGACAAACCTTCTCCACATCTGTATATCTGTTTCTATTGAAAATAACAGATCAGTGAGCAAACGCTGATGCATTTGAGACCATTTGAACTCAGGAATACGAAACATAGTGGATCTGGAATCCCTCCTTTGTCCAGTAACTCCATCTGGTGCTATTCCTTGACCTGGTTCCTCCTGCCGCCTTGACATCTAATACAGAAAATTTAAAAGAGTAGTAAAATAAATTCAACTTCAAAAAAGGCATTAATAATATAATAGCTTCAATGCAATTCATCTAACAAATAATCATATTTTCAGATACTAAGGAACCAAATTAGAGAAAAATTATCAATGAGTAATAACATTAAAACTTTAACACATTTAAAGCAAAGTTATCAAAAATGCTAAACTACCATAATTCAATAGTAATTAGCTTGCAACCATGTTAGTATTACCACCAGCAAATGCAGCATTTTTTAAAAGAATCAAGATTCTTAGATTTGAATATTAGTATGAAAGAAGGCAGTGTCTGGATTATAAATTGGTTAGAATTAAAAACAAACATAAAGGTAACAGAATTAAGAACCAACAAAATGGTTGGTTGAACGGAGTGGGAAATGACAATATGCAATCAACCACGGTCTCCTGAATCACTCTGAGACACTAGTAAAAGAGAAAGAAGTACCTTTAGATCTCAGAAAGGCTCCTCCCGTCTTACAAAGCAAACAGACCTCGCGGTCTGTTTCCTCATGGAAGGAATTTTAAACTACATACTTTATATATAAAATTATACACCGGCAGGTGGTTCTGCAGAAAGATAGCCCTAGATTTTGCTGGAGAATTAATGTACTAACTATGACTGGGTTATCAAATAAAGGGCAAAGGCAAGTATTTCCAGTATTTGTTTTATAAACTAGAATTATTATAATCCTAAAACTTGAAAGTAGTAACTTTTGGTGATGCTGTGGTGAAAATAATAATAAAAGCTGCCTTTAATGAACTCACACTAAAATCTTGTGCTAAAGATAACAAATGTAATCTTTACATTCATTGTATTTATATAATTGCAAATAGGGTATGAACCAACTCCAAAATAAAATAAAATGTAAGTGTATACCCTTGCACTAAGACAGTAAATATAATCACCTCAGGCACAGGTTGATGGGGTTGAGATGCCTCCATGTTTGTATTGGCCTTCAATTCCAATCTCTCAGTATCTGTAGCAACACTGGAAACATCCAATTTAGCAATCCTCTGCTCAGAAGCAGTAGGAGACTCAAAGATGGGAGATTCACCAATTAATTTGGTTTCTCTCACCAAGTTAACTGCTTTCTTCCCTTCCTCTAGCATCTCACCAATGTCTGACTGTGCAGGTGTCTGGGAAACAGTAGTATCTGGTGAGGTAGCCGAAGACCCTGATGCTGTCATAGTCAAGATTCCAGAATCCTTGGAATCTTGAGTTTCACTGTCAGTTTGCTTCTTACTTACAGCTTCTTGCTCTTGAAAGATTAATTTGTTGTCATTACTAAGCATGTCCAGTCTTCCACTGGCTTCAGATGCAACTGGAGACAAACTATCTTCTCGGAGCTCTGTGGGTAGACTGGCTTCCTCAGTAGAACCACTTTCTACCTTCAGTTCTACATAATCATCATCATCTTCCTCTACCATAGACTTATCCAATAACTCTGGCACCTCTGATGCATCCTCTTCTGAAGGAGAACTTATAGAAGCAGTTACTTCACTAACAGTCATTATACCTGTGACACTCGTTTTAAAAGAACTAGAGAAAACAGTCTCACCTTCTATCATATCAGAGGATACTTCTAAATCACCTGTATTAATTGTTTCATTTATCAATGTTTCTTCTAAAGGGACTTCATCTAGTAACTCCTGACTTTCTTGACCAGTTTTCCTTTCTTCATTAGATGGGTTAGGAGTTTGCAGTTCAACATTGGAAGCAGAGTCTATTGAAATTGTCTTCTCAACAGTTGACTTTTCATCACTATTTCTGGTGCTATGAGGAGACACAGGACAAGCCTTCATATCTGATTGCTGGGATGTTACTGAAACATTAACATCCTGGCTAATGGCAGAGACTGCTTCAACTGGATTTGAACATTGCCCTATTTCTTCATCAACTTTTCCCTGGTGTTCTCTGAACATATTGGCAAGATTTTCTTTGTGTATTTCAAAAGTGACCTAGATGAAAAACATAAAATCAGTCAAAATATGCAAAAAAAAAAAAAAAGAAAAGAGCATACAGAACATAAAATAAAAATATTTAACAATTTTTCAAATGTTTTATAAAATGCAATAATCTTCCTCGAATATCCTTATCTTATAACATAAAGTCAATCACAAAAAACAAAATAATAATAAAAAAAAAAAATGATAGCCAGACTTGACGCTGACAGGTAGCACAGCATTAAACCACAATAAGAACATCCTTAGTCTATTCTTAAACATGTGTATGAAAAGAATACACTACTTTACTGACCTCTATAACTTGTACCAGGATCTAAATATATACTTATCATTGTGAAGGGCTTTGTGCACTAAATAATACACTGTTTCAACTGCAATGAAAACCCATCTCCCCATAATTTATCCTCAACAGAGCAAAAAAAAAAAAAAAATTAATTATGCCCACTATTACAGCAGCTCTCCATATATTTATTAAGTTAGTAAAACATTTTCTTACTAAGCTAATACAAATTCTTTCAGCAATGAAAAAAGAATCCAACCCTTCCCCAAAGGTCAACCACAATTTTCAAAGTCTAAATTGGTCAAAATAACCTGAAAGTTCCAGGTCATCCATGCATCCATCCATTCCACTTCCATGTGAGTGACTACTATGTAACTGGCACTGTGAACATCCCCATATCATGGTTAACCTTATACCCATTTACCTTGATAATTTTCTTATCAAAGATTATTATACCCACCATTATGTGATTTCCACTGGTGTTATAATAGGAAACACCCCTCAAAAAGAAGTGTAATACATGCAGAAAGTATAGGTATAATTAAGTTTACCAATGCTACAACTGTTTGTTCCTGTAATCTACACTATTATAATATATACAGTAAATTGAACCTTTAGTCAACAAACCTTTATTGAGCCCTAGTATGGGAGAATGGTAGTAAATGACAACAAAAGATGATTTTTTTGTACACAAAGATCCATAGGCCTTTTTGAATCATAGGCATATATACACATGGGTAAAAGGCAAACAAATGTATAAATAATGTGTTATGCACACATTTTTTTCTATAGCAATTTACTAGCCTTTACTCGGGACATATACAGTATGATGATATCATAATGGGATACAGCTCAAAATAGAAATGTTTAAGAAATAAACATTTTCCTAATTGTAAATATCTGGGAAACTTTTTTTAATATTTCAAAATGAAATGCATATATTCCACACTAAAGAGTAAAATAGCACAGTAAACATTAATAAAATGTCAATTTCTTTCATAACCAGAAAGCAAATATTTTCTTGAACTAAGTTGTTTGTTGTTGTTGTTGTTGTTTTTAAGTAGGCTCTACACCCAACTTGGGGATTGAACTCATGACCCTGAGACTAAAAGTCTCATGCTCTACAAACTGAGGAAGCCAAGTTCCCTGAACTAAGTTATTTTAAATGACCAATTCCTCCTTATTTATTCAGCAAAATGTACTGAACATCCAAAGCATGCCAGGCACTGTGATGAAAAACACAATGTCCCTGCTTTCATGAAACTTATATTCTAATGAAAGAAACTGACAACAAAAACATACAAAAATATAAAATAATGTCAAGTAACAGTAAGAGCTTAAGGGGAAAAAAAGAGAATAACTGAAGATGACAGGTTAGGTGGGAGGGTATGTTTGGAGTAACTAGGGAAGGTCTCTAAGGATATTTATTACATTGAACAGAGATAAAAATAAAGTGAGAGAACAAGTTACATGAATATCAAAAGGAAAAGAGTTTCAGGCAGGAGGAAAAACAAATGCAAAGTCCCTCGTTGCCAAAATGAGCTTGGTATGTTTGAAAGAGAACTGTAGATGGTACGGCCACACAGGTAGGCATTGGCAAAATCATGGTTATAGAGAATTATAGACTGTATTAAAGACTTTGAATTTTATTCTGAGTGTGAGAGAGCCATCAGAAAATTCTGAGTAAGAGGAAGACATCTTATTTCTTAAAGTATCATTTAGTCTATTTGGAAAACTGACTTTAGGAAGATCATTTCTACAATGATATGACAATTATTATTGTCTAAGGCAGGCAAGTTTCATACTACCAACCTCACAGTGATTTTGAAAACAGATCTTTTATTTCAACAACAGTGTATACGTTTAGTTTTCAATAATCATTTGCTTTGATTTTATTCAAATTAAGAATTTTTAAAATTTCATCATAAAATATTAAAATATATCAAAACATGAATATATACAATTTACTACCTCACAATTCCTCTATGTGCCCATCCTCAACCTCCCCATCCCCATCAGGAGGAAATCACTATTTTGACATTTCTATTGTTTCCTACCTGTTGTTTTTTTTTAACAGTTCTACTACCTATATAGTGAACATACTTACCATGTTTAGTTTGAGAAGCTAAGTACAGCATAAACCTAGCCAGCTTTGTGAGGAAAGGGCAATATTACCATAATTAACTAAAGGCTACCAGAAGACAAGCTACAGAGAATCTATGAATTGGAACAGGGCTTCAGTTTCTCTAAGAGAATACATAAGGCTATTCCTGGGAAATCTGTTGGCAAGGCCATCCAGAAATACTGGGAAATACGTAGGTCAGAAGAACTGAAGCATCTATGAGTGTGGGCCAGGTAACAGATACCTGGCATGAATAAGGTATAGGAAGTAGACTACTTTATATTTTCTGATTCTCACCATGGTCTACCTCTACTCTCAGAAGTAAATCAAAGGAGACCACTTTTTCAAGGAGTGAAGTGATCCAGGCAGGAGGACTAGAAGAGAGAGCATGAACTGAATCAGTACGTGTTCAAGACAAGCCAAGTAGTTCTAAGAATATGGGCCTATCACATGTAAGTAATTTGTTCTCAGGTTTTTAACAAAAAACTGTTAAAAGGCAACTGGCATTTCATTGACAGAAGCTTCCCCCTATATCTGTTAAGTAAAACTGTTCCAATTTAGAAGAACTGTCATATGTCTACTACACAGCTGCCATCTCGGGATCTCCCTTCATCACTGTCCTGGAGATCCCTTCTTATCTCTCTCCTATGTCTTCTCTCCTGTTTCTTATGTCCCATATCTTTCTCTGTTTCATTTTCTCCTTTTGGTGCTGTATATCCTCCAGTACCTTCCTGAAAAGGGGTATATATAAACTAACTTTTGAGATCATACTTGATTAATAGATTGATTATAAAACCATAGGTTGGAAAGCATTTAACCTCAGAATTTGAAAAGTATTTCTTCACTGCCTTCTTATTTCTGTGCTTACTGTTGGGAAGTCTGAGCCTACTCTGATTTTTGATCCTTTATAAGACCTATTCTGTTCCCTGTAAAATCTTATAAAATCTCTTTGCTCCTAGTGCTTTCAAATTTCACACTGATTCTCAACATAGGTCTATTTTCATCCATTTTGTTAAATATCCACTGGGCCCTTCCAATCTAGCAAAAAATACCCTTCTGGGAAATTTTCTTGAATCAATTCTGGGAAATTTTCTGGTTCTGGGAAATTTTCTTGAATCAATTACTTTATACCTTCGTCCCCTTTTTCACCTATTCTCACTTTTTGGGATTAATATCTTTTGACATTGCACTGAGTAGTCCTCTAATTTTCTTACTATTTCTCTATTTTCCATGTCTTTGTCTTTTGGTTCTACTATCTGGGAGAGTTCCTCAAACTGACCCTTGAACTTGTTTTTCATTTCTCCTATGTGACTCTGGGCTAGTCACTTGACTTTTCTGCTGCTTGTATTTTTCTTCTCTAAAATGGGTAGTATAAGGGTATCAAAATCCCAGACTTCAAGTTATATTACAAAGCTATAGTGATCAAAACAATATGGTACTGGCACAAAAACAGACACAGAGATCAATGGAACAGAACAAAAAACCAAAAGAGGAACCCACAACTACATGGTCAATTAATCTTTGAGAAAGCAGGAAAGAATATCCAATGGGAAAAAAGAATGTCTCTTCAACAAACAGTACTGGGGAAACTGGACAGCAATATGCAAAAGAATGAAACACTTAACTTATTCCGAACACAAAAATAAATTTAAAATGGATTAAAGACCTAAATGTGAGACCTAAAACCATAAAAACCCTAGAGGAGAAAACAAGCAGTAAGTTCTTTCACACAGACTGTAGCAACTTCTTTCTAGATATGTCTCATGAGGCCAGGGAAATAAAAGCAAAAAATAAACTACTGGGACTTCATCAAAATAAAAGCTTCTACACAGCAAAGGTAACAATCAACAAAACTAAAAGCAATCTTAAGAATAAAAGATGTTTACAAATGACGTATCTGATAAAGGCTAAGTATCCAAAATATATAAAGAACTTCTACAACTCAACACCCAAAAAAACAAATAATCCAATTAAAAAGCGGGCAGAAGACATGAACAGACATTTCTCCAAAGAAGATGTACAAATGGCTAACAGACACATGAAAAGATATTCAATATCTCATCATCAGGGAAATACATAACAAAACTACAATGAGGTATCACCTCACACCCGTCACAATGGCTAAATTCAACAACACAAGAAACAACATGTGCTGGCAAGAACGTGAACAAAGGGGAACCCTCCTGCACTGTTTGTGGCAATGCAAGCTAGTACAGGCACTCTGGAAAACACTGTGGAGGTTCCTCAAATAGTTAAAAATAGAACTACCCTATGATCCAGCAATTGCACTACTAGGTATTTACCTGAAGAATACAAAACTACTGGGCGCCTGGGTGGCTCAGTTGGTTAAGCGACTGCCTTCGGCTCAGGTCATGATCCTGGAGTCCCGGGATCGAGTCCCACATCGGGCTCCCTGCTCAGCGGGGGTCTGCTTCTCCCTCTGACCCTCTTCCCTCTCGTGCTCTCTGTCTCTCATTCTCTCTCTCTCAAATAAATAAATAAAATCTTTAAAAAAAGAATACAAAACTACGAATTCAAAGGGATACATGCACCCTAATGTTTATTATAGCAACATTATCTAGAATAGCTAAA